GGGGCATATTGACAAACTTGTATAGTTCATATGGTGGTTTGTAAAAAAAAATAGTTTATATGGTGATGCGCCAAAACCGTGATAGTTCGGATGGGAAAAAGTATTTTACCCAAAAAAAAAGGGTACACTTAATAATGAAACCCCGACCAGTAGAGTCCGGTTTCCAAAATCAATGCCTACTATTTACAATCAAGATACAACTTTCAGATACTGACCAGCAAAATCAAAAGGTCTTTTCATTTGCCAAGGTTCAAGGGTGTTGCCCGCAGGTTATGAAATAAAAAATCATTACAAGAAAATGAAAGAATCGGTAAAAAGTGAGTTATTTTCCAAACTTAAAAGCAGCCGTACTACAAAGCAAAATTATATATGTATTGAAAATTACATACACAGACCTAGCCATAGTTATACAAATCATGGGTATCATGCTGTGCAATCATAATAAATATGATACATAACAAGCAAAATACATAGCCATATACAAAGGAAAGAGAAATCACATTCAGAAATATATTCTCCATCCACAAATCCTCCAAAACTGAAGCACGACAATAAATTGACCAGTTATTTTAAACTATAATGCGTCAATTTAATGGAAAAAACTACTTTGTTGTTGAGAGGAAGGTAAGAAAAAAAAAAAACAAAGAAATCGTATCATACACAAGAATTCCCTCAAGATTTCTGAAAAAATGGTAAAAAAGACAAAGCTGAAAAAAGAAATAAATATACCATACCTCTTAAAAAATCCAATGCTTTCCTGGCTCGGACGTAACACACAAACTTGAACTGGCCTGCACCTTCATGTGTTGAGCTGACAGTGAATATATAGGGCAATGTTATATTACATGGTTTACCATCTTTACTTCTTCCTCTTATTATTAATCTCTTGCAGGATTTCTGTCCTTGCGATGATCTTTCTTAGACGGCTTCGATTTTCTCTTTACGGAAGAAGGATCGACCAATGGGCCTGACCATGTCTGGATGGGCTCTTTGGCATATGAGAAATTCATGGAAGTAAACGGTACATGTACATCTGGTGGGTCGAAAGTTGGGTCTATGTGATTGGACGATCCCAATGGGAAGCCTATTCCTGCGTCTTGGTGGGGAGGAGGAAACTTCTCACTTTTGCTCTTAGCATTTGCATGGGTGAATAGCCGTCGTCTCTGTTTTATGAAGGGTTAAAGAAAATTTTCGATTAATCTTTCAAATATTATAAAATAGCCATCTATCATATGTTTCTATATTACACATAGCAGCCCATCAAAATAGTGGTTACTGGCTGGTAAAACAAATAAAGAAGTCATTACTTGAGGGGCTTATTTGTGAATGGTGATCATAGAAGATCACCTTTTTTTTATTTAACTCTCACGTGAAAACTAATTTAATCAAAGAGAATGGTATTCCATATTCGCTTATTCTTGTAGGTCATTTGTCAAAAGCAGTGTCATCAAGCAAATGGACTGGCACGAGTAGACAGCTGCCTTACCAAGTGTATGGGTCAAACGCATCCTAAAAATGTCATGACGGCCAAACACCATCACTTTTCAAATAATAGACCAACTCATTGAGCATTTCTTTTCTTTTGAACATTAATTCCATATCTCGAAAGTAAATTGTTACGTGAAACCCTGACCTAATATCTCATATTGGTTTTTATGCTGATCATGGAAACTATTTATAGAAAAAAATGGAAGCAGCATCACGTTAACTAAACGCTACTTCTGCTTTAATGACCCATGGCAAATAAAAAGGTAAGAACACTCATAAAATCATCAAATATAGTGAGCGTATGATGGAGACCAAAAGTTTCTTGAGCAGCAAAATATGTTTCAGCAAAAGGAAGATAAACAGGGATTATTGAGTATACTGAGGAAAAAAGATCATGTTTGGTTTGTTGAGTGAATATGAAGAGCAAAAAGACAAGTACAAAAGTGGAACACACTTTTCATAAGAAAGACATACATCAATATTGGCTTGAAGCTCAGCATTGGCTTCAGGTGCAGGCATGGCCCGCATTCCCCGATCACGAGTACGTGTTTTCTTTACCACATCTATGTGGGTTTTACCAGCGGCTCTTAACCTACAATGACAATTCAGTGTCAGGATTCAACATATATGCAACTGGACACCATGATAATTATTAATTCGCGAACTAGTGGAATCAATAGACGATAAAAAAACCTAATGGATGTAATATTTATGCGCATTTGCTTCAAATGAATAAAAAGAGGCAAAAACGGATAAAAGTATGGATTTTCGTAAGTTGTAAGTGAACAATTCATCTCCAAACCTTCGAGCTTCCTCATCGCGACGCTTAGCATCCATTTCCTTGCTTGGTGGATACTTTGGAAGACTAGAAGGATCACATGCATATGGCTCGGTACTAAAGAACTGCAATTCAAAAACCAAAAAAAAAAAAAA